CCAGGGGCAAGGTGAAGCCTCCTGGCAGAGGGAAGTACCCTTGCCCTTGGTGCCCCCACCCCTAGCACTCCCTGGGAGATGACAGGCCCCTGTGCCCCACTTCCCAGTCAAGCCTGCAATTTGAACCCTAGTCATAAGCAGCCCTGGGCTGGATTGGGGGGTGGGGGGGCTGGAAGCCCAGAACCCTCTCTTGATGCCACCTACTGAGCTAAATCTACCTTGGGCCACCAGAGCCCCCACCCCACCTCAGAGTCTCACTGAGGCCAGACCAGGAAGGGGCCTCAGCACCTCCCAGGCCCCAGGCCATGCCCACTCAGCTTTAGCAGGAGGAACTGGGGCTGGACAGCCCTTTGGGGCCAGGGTCAAAGACCTCAATGAAGCCACCTTGCTTGGAGGGCCAGTGCATGTGCCTGCTTGTGTCCCCTAGAGCCATGGGCCCCAGCACCCAGGGGGCAGAGCATTAAGTGGGCCAAGAGCCAGCTTGGCAGGGTGCATGTGCCATATGGACCCTCCCCAGGCTGCCAGCCCACCCCAGCCAGCGTGCCTTCCAATACAATCTCTGCCGCTTCATTCGTTCGGCCTGGGCTGGGGCCAGACTCCTGTGGCGGCTGAGCTCCAGACCCAGCTGCCAGCTCTGCCTCCCTGGTGTGGTGGGCACCTGGCCATAACCCATGTGTGCCCATGGGGTACATCACGCACCCCCGGGGCTCGCTCTGCAGGGGGACTGGAGTAGGTAAGGCTGAGCACAGGTGGATGCTGCTGGAGATGGGGCATCCCTGGGAGACCCCTGAGGGTGTCCAGCCTATGCCCCGCCTCCCTGTCCTGCTGCTTCCTACCTTACTGACTGGGATGGGGGGTAAGGGGCACCCAGGCTACAGGGAACCCCTTGGGCGCCGGAGGCTGGGCCCTTCTCTGACCCTGGGAAGTCTCCAGAGCTCCGCCCCCTGCCTGCTCCCACTCCGTAGGGTGCAGCAGCTGGCTCCCACCCCACCCCCAGACCTGTCGGAGCTGCTGTGGACAGGGAGCTGCCCAGACTTGCCAGTCCCTCCCTCCTGGGCTCTCAACCCACAGCCCGGAAGAGGCTCCCTCTCTCCCATGGCCGCAGCCTCCTCAGGGCTGGCTGCGCACGGCTGGATAATCCAAAATAATTCCCCCTTGGCAGCGGGCCGGCGGGAGGAGGGGGGTACACATTCCAAACCCCTGTTTTCCTCAGCGACTCCATCCCTTTCTAGGGAAAGAGGCCCCTGTTCACCTCCCCACACAGCGCAGACTGAGGCAGGCCCCAGTGGCAGGAGGTAGGGGCTCAGATTGGCCAAGTCCATCTGCTGGTTCCTGTGGCCTGTGCCCTGCACAAGGAGCTGCCAACACAAAGCCTTACACACCCCCAGCTGGGAGCCTGCTGTCCCAGAAGCCACCACCTCAGGCTCACCTAGCCCCTGGTCTGCTCAATCGCCCAGGTGGGGCCCTTCCCGACTCTAGTGCCAGGCTGAGAACATCCAAAAGCCTCCCCCCAGCCTGGTCTCGCTGTCCGTGCCTCTCCCTCCTTCAGGCTTAAGGTCGGGCCCAAAGTTAGACAGGGAAGGGGGCTCCCAAGGCGCCCCCTCACCCCTGTCCTGAGCCCCAGTTCACAGTCTGTGATGCGCACACACACAGGAGCTGCGGCGAGATGCCAGTCACCCGACGTGGCAGGAAACCTTGAGCTCGGGGACCCCTGGAACACTGAGGCAGGACCCCTGAATCTGCCAAGCATGTCTGCTGGGAGGCCTGCTGGCAGAGGCAGGCATCTAGAGGACTGGGTCACCCAGCACCTTCTCTCGGAACCACCCCATTTGCCCTGCTGGAGGGGCTGAGCCCCAGCGGCCCCCTGTGCCCGGCCTCCCAGCCTCTTCGCCGGGGACGCAGGCTCGCAGGGTGGTCCCAGCGTAGGCCCTCCTCCCGGGAAGCCCCAGAGCGGGGCGCATGGGTGGGGGCTGCCCGAGCCAGGCCCCCAGCGGCCTGGCTCCCCGGCGCCGCTGCTGGGTGGGGTTGGGGCTCGGGGAGAAGGGCTGGAACCAGCGAGGAGTCGGGGCGCTCCAGGCTGGTTCCCACTCGGCGCCGTAGGCCTCCCCGCGGCCGGAGGGACAGAAGGACGCACGACCCCTGCGGGAGGGGCGCTGCCTCCAGGCCGGGAGCGCGCGCAGATCTGAAGCGCCTCCGCCAGGCTGCCCGCCCCCACCGAAAGCCCGAAGCCCTGCCGGTACCTGTC